CTGAGTCTCCATTGCATTATGAGAGTCCATGTTTCCATGCCAACAATCGACACTGATTAATTACTGTTATAAGTTTTGGTATCCATGAGTTTGATTCCTCAAGCTGTGATCTTTTTTAAAGATCGATTTAGCTGTTGGAATCCTTGAAAAATCCACAAGGTTTTGATGTTTCAATGATATCAACAGGATTTTCACGGAGTCTTTACTAAACTTACAAATCATTTAGAGTGATATTGTCACCTTGATAATTATGTCTTTCAATCCATGAACCGGAAATGTCTAAGTAGTTTTTTTTTGTTTTAATTTCTTTAAGCAACCTTTTTCTCATTTGGGGTATATGATCTTTTAAGATAATTGGCTAGGTTTCTTCAGAGTGCTTTTTTCTAATCAGAAGTCTGTCCAATTTCCTCTTCCTGCTGCTCACTGGATGTGTTCATATACACAACTGGCCAGTGTCTACTAATTTTCTGTCTTGTGACTTTGCCAAATTTGTTAGTCTACCAGGATTCTGTGGCATCTTCAGGGTTTCTTCCTGTAAGATCATGTCACAGACACACAGAAACCATTTTGCTTCCCCTTTCCCAATTTGGATTGCTTTTATTTCCTTTTTTTTCTTGCCAAATCAGATGGGCTACAACTATGTGGACCTGTAGGAAGTCCACAAACTGTATCGAAACACACAAAATAGAAGATCTGGCTCAGCCACAAGTTCTGTGTGGCAGACAATGGTTTCTTTTCAGAAGGGAAGTTCAAGGGTAGCTCTGATTAGCAGCAGGACCGAGAGGGAAAGAAGGGAACAAACCATTTCCTCCCCTTGAAAGTCCTGGTAGGCTCATGGCTTTAGCTGAGCTAGCTGAAGTGTGACGGGCAGAAATGGAAGTGACTTTGATGAGAGGAACTGTACCTTTACCTTAGAGCGTGGCTCTCAAGCTCCCTAGTGAGGTGACCCTTTGATATAGTTCCTCATGTCATGGTGACCCCAAGCATTAAATTACTTCATTGGTGCCTCATAATTGTCACTGCAATACCGCTATGAATTGCAATGTCTGGTATGCAGGGTGTCTGATGTGTGACCTCCCAAGGGGTCGTGGCAGACTGAGAACTGCTGTTTTGAAGAAAGGACTTAGAAAGAAAGACATGCCCTGTAGTGGCATTTCTCTGGTATTTTAATCCATAAAATTTGCCTGAGGATCAGAAAAGTAAGACAGTCACCCTGGCCAGCCTTATAGTCCAGGCAGCAATGACACACACCTTTGATCCCAGTAGCCACATTAGTTTGCCATAAAAACCAGGAAGCAATAGGGCACACCTTTAATCCCAGAACTAGAAAGGAACAGAAGACAGGAGGAGACAGCTCACAGACACAGTCTCATTCTGAGATTCCTGGAGGCAGGATCACCATTTTGGACTCAGGCTGAGGTAAGGTCCAGATGAAGAGCAGAAGGAGAGAGAAGATGAGCAAGGAAGTCAGGACTGCGAGGAGTTTGTCCATCCACTGAGATGGTGTGACTGATCTAAGGGGACCTCGTCAAGGCCAGCTGGACTGGGACTGAATGAGCATGTGATCAGACCGGACTCTCTGAATGTGGCTGACAATGGGGGCAGACTGAGAAGCCAATGATAATGGCACTGGGATTTGATTCTACTGCATGTACTGGCTTTTTGGGGATCCTAGGCCACACTTTCCTAGGCCTGGCTGTAGCGGGGGAGGGCCTTGGACTTCCTACAGGGCAGGGTACCCTGACTTCTCTTAGGACTGGAGGTGGGGAGAGGGAGTGGGAAGAGTGGGAGGGAATGGGAGGAGGGGAGAAGGTGGAAATTTTGAATGGTATTATTTATAAAGCAATAAAAAAAGAAAAGGAAAAAAAGAAAACAAGAAAAGGGATAATCAAATCTTCCCTAAAATGATCACAATACACTTTTTACATTGATCCATTCATAAAAATGATTGTTTTTTTAAATTTCTTATGGCAAGGGGTTATGAAATCGTTCTGCTATTGTGTTATTTAATGTATAGATTCTATTCCCGTACATTGTCATAGTATAGGTGAGAAAGTTAAAGGCCAAACTAGAGTCCTTTATTTTTGTCTAGCAACCAAGAGAGGGACAGCACTTCAGAAGGACTCTTCTTGGTGCTGAATCTCAGGGGCACAGTGTTTTTAAAGGCAGAAGATCACGCCGACTACAATCACGTCAATCTGCGATGATGCTCAGAGGGTCCTTGCAACATCTGTTTTGGAGGAACATTGCAGTTATTTCAGGCACGCCATGACAATGCATGTTAATTTACACCTTGATCCGTTATTTTAGTTCATGTTTAATTTGTACAAACACGAGCATACAAGCTCCTACTCCCAGACCATAGTCAGGGTCATGGAGAATCTCAAACGTGCTGCCAAGGTGGACGTGGCTGTTGAGGCAGGTAGAGGCTGAGAAGTATCTAAGTAGGTACAAGATGTGTCAGGACAAGATGATGTTGCCTTAGTCACTTCAGCATTAAATGAAGAATGATTTTCAATTTAAAACAATTTTTACATAAGGTGACTTGACTTGTTACTAGCTCTATAGTACCCTTGATCATAAAAACTGTAACTTAAACAGTTGTAGAAACTCTTTATAAAAAATACTCCACCTTATTGAAAATTATTATTACACACAGGCAGAGGAAAACAATATGTCTGTAGCTTAATAATGTAGTACTCATGAGATGGCTTCAAAGAGACAGGAGGCAGAAAGAGAGGTCTGACCTTAGGTAGGTGGGGCCATGTTTATTCACTGTCAGGGGGCAAAGGCTAACCCATATGAGTAATTAAGAAATGCCTATGGAAAACTATGGCTCCAATAGGGGCAGAAATGACTGCAAAAAGTATATTAGTTTTCTCCTCTAGTACCTTACTTCTAGATTGCTTTACCTGGTTTTATGGGAAGCTGTCACTGTGGTCTTTTAGCAGGAAACTAAAAGACTGGTGGGTGGGTTCAGAGATGGGAGATAGTGGGATTCCCTTCACAGTCTGATCAATGGCTTGGCAAACTTCCTGCAAAGCCCACAAGTACTCAAGAGGGAAGTGCTTAGACATTTCTGCCAGGGCGGCAGGATATCTCTGAGTTTAGGGAGGATGGAAAGTAGTCTCCCAAACATGTCTTCAAAAGAAGGAAGCTCCCTCTGCTAAGGCCTTGAGCAGGAAGAAGGGAAGGATATTGACCAGGTTCCAGGACCGATGATCTAGTGAGTCTCCTTAAGAGTTTTATTCATTCTTTCTCTCTGACCTGAGTTCTATGGCTTATATTCACAATGTAACTTCCAATTACGACTTAATACCTTTGATTCTGAGTCACTAGGGAGGTAGTCCAGCAGTTAAAATGCTTGCCACACAAGTCTGCTTGAAAATCACATCTGGGATTCCCAGAACCCAGGTAAATGCTAGGTGGATAAAGGGGCTTGTCTTATAATTCTAGGGCCCAGAAGATGGAGATCCAGAGCAGACTGGCTAGCTAGGCTAGCAGCAGTAATGAGTTGTGAGTTCAGTTGAGAGATCCTGCCCCAATGAATAAAGTGTAGACCAGTCAAGGAAAATAGCCCAAATCAACTTCAGGCCTCAACGCACATGTGTGTACATGTGCATATGCAACCCCCAACATACACACATGTACACATTCCAAAACATATACACTTGGAAAAATGTCTATTTAAAGCCATTTACTAGTCAACTACTACTCTAGCTAACGTAATTATAAAGAATTATAAAGCATGAGCGATTATAGAGGAAGTATATTTTACTTCTCTAATGGCACATAGTACCCCACTCCACCTGTTTCTAAACGGTAAAATGGTAGCACGGTGTTTACAGCTTTTCTGCAGTGCTGGCAGGACTTGTTGAAGTTTTCCCCAAGAGATATTACTGCAGTAAGTTGTTGAGGATTGGAGGATTGTCTCCCATGCATCCAGAAAGTTGCATTAGCCATCTCTCAGGTGCTCAGTTAGCATGTTCGCTCCCACACACCCATTGCACAGCTGATCCAGGTTTATTGAATCGCAACTCAGTTCCAAAGAAGCCTAAGGGAGGTTGACGTTCCCTGATGAATCTCAGGCACGCAAGCACTTAGCAGGTCTTAATAACTGATTCAGAATCAAACTCTGCTTCATGCCGATATCCACTTGATCAAAACTAGTTAGATAGTGAAGCCGAGAGTCAGTGTAGGAGAGCACCAGGCAGTGGCTGAATCCTGTTACCGGGACTAGCCCTTCAGAGGCTAGCAAGAGAGGTGCTCCACCATGGTCTGATGACTAGAGATATAACACATACACACACACACACACACACACACACACACACACACACACACACACAGCTTGTCCTGTTTTCAAAGAACTCACAGAGAAGAAATCTTGTCAATACTGTTAATGTTTTGTTGGCCTTCAGGTGGATAAATGTAGGGGACAGTTATTTACTAAAGACAGGTGCTTACGGTGTTGAACTAACGATGTTACTACTGGCCATCAGGATAGTATAATCGCAAGCCCAGTAACCGCAGGTAGGAACTCACTGGGCCCAGGGAAAGGCAATTTGCACCACAAGACCAAACCTACTTCCTACTTTCGGTTCTGCTCCCATTCACCTTGTTCACTCTCACCTCAACCCAGGGCGGTTTCATTACTGGTTGATGGAGGAAGCACCCTTGTGGTGAGTCCTTAGGCAACCCCGGCTCTAGGTTTCAGAAAAGGGAATCTGCCTCTTGTATACTTTATTACATTTTTTACTACATATCAGTCTGGTGGTCTGTTATGTCATTGTGTGTCTGTAATGACAAGGAAACTGTGTCCATTCCTTTGCAGTCACATTTCTTTAACCAACGGGAGTCCTCGAAGCTAACTGAGAAGGAAAGAGTTATTCCGAGCTCTCCTCTGAGCGAACCTGCTTGATGCCTGCTGATGTTTAATTTGTGGATACTGTGGGGAACTGGATCTGCTTGAGCAAGAAGGGCTCTTTGTGACAGCCAGTGCTGGAAGAACTCTGCCTGCCTGCCCTCCCTCCCTCCTTACTTCCCTCCCCATCCTCCTTTTTTTTTTTTTTCATTGTTTCTGGAAGTTTCCTTATTGTTTTTGAGACAGGACCTCCACCCATGTCCTGGCTGTCCTCACCTCTTCCAGCTGGAAAACCGGATGCCCATTTTGACCAAGAGATTAAATTCATCTCTACTCATTTTGCATGGTTGCAAAGAAAATAAAGCCAAGTAAGAGGGAATGACTTTCAGTTTGCTTAGACACGCCCCGCTCCCACCCCCATCCCCCTCCCCCCGCGCGTCCTCAGTGTCCGGTCCCACAACTCTCAGTCTCCACCTCCCCTCTCACCCCCAATCCCCAGTCTTTGACCACACACTACCCCAATTTGACAGGTTTACAAGGATCTGCAACCCTTCCTGGAGAGCTAGGCTGAGCTCCTGAGGCCCTTAACTCATTCACTTCCAGAGTTCAACCCACAGGCGGCAGCCGGTCCTCCCCTTTCTCCCTAAAGTTCAATTCCTGGCCATTTCAGAGAATTCCAGGAAGTCATTAAAAAGAAACCAGAGAAAGGTAACAATTTAACTATTTCACTGACGATATCCTGTGTTGCGCTAACTATGCTAAACTTTCTCCTGTCTTTTTTGTCTTTCTCTTCTGTCTTTTCCGCTTCTTATAGTTAGGTTTCACTTTCAGGTTTGCAAGAAACGTCCGACTTTTTTTCTTTTAAGGTCTGAATGATAACCAAGAGAAAGCAGGATCTCTTGCTGAGTAAAATCAGAACATTCTTGACGTTTACCGCTAATCCACCTGTCTTTCATGTGGGGAATGAAACCTTGTGAGAACCATACAACGGAAGAAGGTAGAAGGCGATACAGGTACAGGGAAGGAAGGCATAGGAATGCCGAATGCAAATTTAGTCGCAAAATCAAGTCTGATTTCTTTGATAAAACATCAATTTTATGAAGCAATTAAACCGAAAGTATTTCCCCTGTAGACTTCTGTTCTTGGAAAGGCTCATTCAGGCAGCTTCGGATGGGTGTGATTTTGCAACAGGCTTTACAAAGGGTAAAGGTGGCTCTGGGGTTGGATGGGGCAGGGAGTGAGAAGCCAACAAAATACCTGCCCGCGGGTGGTATACAGTATGAAATTCTCAAAGAATAAGTAAAAAGATTTTTATTAGAAATTAACTACAATCCTTTTTTTAAAAAAAATTCCACCTTTGCCTTAAAGCAAAAAAAAAAAAACTCAGATGGTTAAAAACTGCTTTCTTCTTTTTAGAATAATATTAGAAAATATTATGATAATATTTTCGAGAAAGAAAGAATCCTCAGGTATTTCTAGGAACTAGTGACTGGCTTCCTGTTCCAGAATAAAAGAGGATGGTGGGAGAGGGGAGAGAGCTGTTTAGGAAGTTGTTTAGTAAGGTCGGACACCAGGCTGAGGAATCATGGACTCGCTGGGGAAAATACCCAACCCCCCATATATGGAAGTTGTCACACGTTGTTTTCCTGACTTTCCAATGTGATTATATTTTGTATGTATCTGCATGTAGCTGCTCATGTATTATCTTACAAAAAGATGCTGCAATGTTTATAAACCAAATTATAAATCATGGCTGATTCTAAGTATTTGCTCCTCACGCCCCCTGCCTTAGTCACTCACACTCTAACGCAGTTTCTCCCTTGAAAGAAGAAATTCAATTCTATGTGCCTTCAAAAGTGTTTCCCCAAATGCAAGGTCTTTCTCCTACTCCTCCCTGCTTCTCGGGAAGAATTGTCCAGTAGTAACTTTTCCTGCATCCTCATCTCATACTTTAAGTGGAATTTTGTTTGTTGGATCGAAATGTGTCTTTGCCTACATCAAAGGGCTGTTTCTTTTCTTAGTTGCTCAGCTGACAGTGGAGTTTGGAATTTAACATATTTTTCCCCCAAATGTTTTAAAAGCTTTCCTTTACTGTTACCTGGTAACGCATGTTACTGATGAAAAGTTATTCATAAAAAAATGAATCTCTTTCCTTAGGAAATAACTACTGATATGATCGTCTTATAAAATGTTTAGGATTTGTGTGCCCCTTCTGAGAGTATCTGTGAGTCTGTGTGTGTGTGGTCACTATTCTAAATTTCCTAACATTCTATTTATGATTCCCCCCACACACACACACACACATCCTGTTTTGTTGGCACTTAGTGGATTCTCTCTCTCTCTCTCTCTCTCAATGAAGTATGTTTTCAGCTTGGGAATGTCTTTCAGGGATACAGTTAGTAAATGCATTGGTCTTCAGTGACTCTAATCTTTATTCACATCCTTTCCAGAAGGGTAGATGTTACCTAAACAAGAGCTAGACTATCTTACAGGGTTGTATCCATCAACTGGTAAACCTTATGGTCCTGGGAGGAAAACTTAGTTGTCTATCCCTTAATTTACCAGCTGATACGTACTGCAAGATTTATGTCAGGTATGTATGTATAGAAAAATTGTAAATACCATATGCTCACTCTGGGGCATGAACCATAGCCTTTGAGAGAATCGGGAGTCCATTTTTTTGAAACACACATCACAGGTAAACATCAAAACTAATGCATCAGATAAAGGCGGTCGTATGTATGAGAATGAATGAGATTCCATTCTGGGGTGATAAGACTGGTTTGTAGGAAGAGCAGTGGTCACTTCTGAGAGCAATGGTGGAAGTTAACTGGGAAGGGACAGAGGAATTCTCTGGATTTCAGTTACACAAGTCATGCATTTGCCCAAAGTCAGGGAATGTATACTTAAAACGCCTTCATGTCTTCATGTTGTTATGTGAAAATTTACATTGGATAAAAAATTCTGTGTAAGAAATGCTGAAACTATTGATGAGAAAGAAATCTGTTCAGGGAGAAGATTGATGTTTGCAGGATGTGTTTGTGAGCTGATGATACAGGTGTTTGGATCGATTATTATATCTGTAATACAACAAACATATTTATTGTAAAGTGGCTTGGATTGTCTAGTATATTTAAAAATACTTTTTTGCTTCTCTCTCTCTCTCTCTCTCTCTCTCTCCTTCTCTCTCTCTCTGTTTTGTTTTGATTTCAGGATGGTCTCTCTCTGTTTTGTTTTGAGACAAGGTTTTACTCTGTAGCCTTTGCTGGCCTGGAAATTGCCCTGTAGACCAGACTGGCTCCAGACTCACAGAGATCCATCTGCCTCTGCCCCCCACAAGTACTTCTGGGATTAAAAATCGAAGATAATCATATCTGGCCCTATTTAAGATTTTTTTCAAAATATTCAGAACGTGTTGAAACCATATACTGGAAAACCATACACTGGAACATTTTACAGCAATAAAATGATAAATATTAAGACACAATGAGATGTGGATTTATCTTACAAACCTCATATGGAGTAAAGAAAAAATAATGGATCCCAAAATGATACACATATTACCCTTTTAGCTGTGGGGTGTGTTCTAGGATAGCAGCAAGTGCCTAGGGCTTCAGGACCATCCAACCCTACCTGTGCCAACTTACCTATGCATACACGTCTATAGTGAAGCTTAACAATAGACCCATTTTTTGACATAATCTTGTAAAAGTTATATGGCTTTTCTGTCTCTGTCTTCCTCTCTCTCTCTCTCTCTTTCTCTCTCTCTCTCTCTCTCTCTCTCTCTCTCTCTCTCTCTTCTCCCTACAAATGTCCCAGTTCCTCATTGCATTGTGGGAATATTTTGCATCATAGCTGTCACAAGCAATTGAAACTGTAGAATGTAAACTGTGCTAATGAGGGATTGGTGTAATATAATATTAATATTTTATTAATACTTAACACAAAGACAGATAGCCTTTAATATATAGTGTTTGTGTCTAGGAAGAATGAAGAAATTCATGGGGTGGGGTGAGGGAGATTTCTAAAGCACTAGAGAAACCTTGGTCTCTTGATTTGAGTAGTGATTTCAGAGATATATCCATTTGTGAAAATTCAATAATTTTCACATTTATGATTTGTCTGCTGTTTTGCATACATTTAAAATACAATTGCTAAAATAAAAACCAACCAGGGTAGGTCTTATGTGCAAAGCTAAGCTTATATCTAAGAACATAAAATAAAAAGAAGAGAGAAAATGTAAAACCCAACATGAGGACAGGACTACACAGGATGACCAGTGTCTGCCTGAAAGCAGTTCCAAGGGAGAGACTAGAGAAAGCATAGGAAAGGAAATTATCACAGAAGAAAATTATAAAAGTTGAGGGAAATTTGAGCTTTCAGACTGAAACAAATAGTAATAGACACACCTCGAAGAAAAGAGATAACTTGAAATATCCTTGTGAAATTTTGCATTACCACATTTAAAGAAAAGACATTAAAATATATAAGGAGAAACTGTTAATAAAAAATCTTCATATGAAAAAAGAGAAATTGGGTGAGTGTCAGACCCGTTAACAATGCTAGAGAGACAGAGACTAGGAGATGATGCCTTCATGATTTTGTGTGAAATGCATTTTTTAAATTTATTTTTATGTGTTTTCTGCACATGTGGTTTGCACTATGTACATGTCTTAGTGTACGTGGAGGCCAGGAAAGAACGAAGATTCCCTAAAACTGGAGTTAAAGATGATTGCAAGCAACCATGTGAATGCTGGGAATTGAACCCTGATCTTTCAGAAGAACAGAAAGTACTCTTAGTTGCTAAGCCATTTTTTTTCCTAGTCCCATGGTATTTGAGGTTAATAATATTCCTGTATTAAAAAGCATAACAAAGCTCAATACTTTGTTCAATTAGTATATGCTAATAAAAGTTAATGAAAAAGAAATCTATACTTCCAATAAGCCATGTATCAAAATTATTAAAGACACACAGACCCAAGATCAAACTTTTCAAGATCTTTGGATTTAGTCAATAATGTACAACCAAATGCTTTGACTCATTTCTTTTCGTTCTTACGGCACATACCAAGTACAACAACCCAAGGGCATCTCAGAACCCAGATTTTTCTCTTTGGTTTTTAAAGTAAAATCAAAAGCCATTTAAGAGGACTGTGGACTGGGCAGATGGTCTTGTATCACTGGCTGGGAACAATGCAGGGTGTCACAGCTGTGAGGAAAACCACCTGAGTTCATGCTCAACCAATGGGAGTTAATTGAGCAGTTTTGTGACACCTGCTGAGTAATCATGGAGCCCCTTATATTTCAAATACTCTACCCACTTTACTGTTTCTACTGCTGCCATCTTGTGTAGTGCTTGGCTACGACAAATTTGGGTTTTTCATTATAGATTAAAATATTACAAGACAGAGCATAGTTAAAATCACGTGCTCTTATAAATAAAAACTTTCAAAAACGTTTGAATTTGAAAACTAAACTTACAGAATCATGTTCTCTTAACTCCCAGTGTTATTACTCTGACTGAATAATGGTTTTAATATCACATGGCTATATTCTGAGAACCAGGAGGTCAGCTCAGTTTGTCTACTTTCATCCTCACAGTTCCCTTTGGAGAATTTCATCTAGAGCTGAGAAATGAACTGATTTGTCCAAAGCTACAGAACAGAAGCGCCATTATATCAATGCAGGCCACGTTATTCCAGGGTCTGCTCTCTTGACTATGTTTCTCTAAGTTGCACTGATTCTTCAGAGAATATTGACTGAAATAAATATAAATTACGAATGAGATTTCTTAGCGTTAGGATTTTCTAACCAATTTAGATAAAATGTTTCTCCTTACTCATAGTTACAGACCCCAAACTCTACCATTTCATATCTTAGTAATAGCAACCAATACTGTACTAACAGTTACATTCCTGCAAGGATGGAAGGATGCGGTACAGGCCAAAGAGCATGTGTCTCCTGTGCCACAAAGGAAGGCATCAAGAAATTCTGTATAGGGCTGGCAAGATGGCTCAGCGCTTAAGAGCACTGGCTGCTCTTCCAGAGGTCCTGAGTTCAATTCCCAGCAACCACGTGGTGGCTCACAACCATCTGTAATGAGATCTGGAGCCCTCTTCTGGCCTGCAGGCATCCATGGAGGCTGAACACTGCGTACATAATAAATAAATCTTTAAAAAAAAAAGAAAAGAAATTCTGTGTAGTCAGCAAATCAAGAAATATAATTTTAGGGATAGTCTTTGAAATTAGGCTTGCAACACTGTATTAGATGAAGATAAACCTAAGTATAGAACACTAGTAACGAAAGCGAGAGAATGAATGGTCTAGTTAAACGCCTAACATTTAGAGTAGGGCAGAGTTGTTTCACATCAGTAACTACAGGCATGAGCCTGAGAGTGTGATTGCCGTGAAATACATCAGACAAAGGAAAACAAAATTCACAGTTTTTTCCTATGAAAGGTGAACTGGTAGAATTATAAAGCTTCGGTACCGGAGGCCAAGAACAGTGCAAGCAGCCAGAGAAGAGAGAAGGTGGCTAGCAAAAGTCAGGGTGCAGCTGAAATTCAGAAATCACTGGATGATTATGGCTAAAAGTGATTAATTATAGATTTCAAAGTAACTACGATAAAGGGTCTTAACTCTTCACAACCTAGAGAACTGATAAACTTGAAAATCACTCTGCCCTGCTGACTATGCATCATACACAATACCGAAATAGTCATCTATTCTAGAAGTGCGTGTAATTATTCTGTGTTGATAAAAATAATTTCAAGGTGAGATTTTTGCCTGGAGTTCACTTGGAGATAGTTTTAAAAAGTAGGCAATATAACAATTGACCAAATAACCATAGTTTCAAGGAAACGGCATGACTTGAGTTCTTTATCTCTATGGTGAGGGAAGATGAGAAAGAAGTATCTACAGTTTATCTCACTTATTGGTGTTATTTGAATTATTTCTGCCTGGTGCGTCACTTATATGGTACATAATTGCATGGTGCAAAAGTTATTAAAAGATCTTTTGTAGATTTGGGTGATACATTTTAAAAGAATACACCAAAGGGTATGGAAGCATGGTATGAACCAATGCCTTTTATATTTCCTCTATAGGGCAGAATCATGAAAGGGTGTTCATCCTATCTAATATACTCCCTTGGGGGACTTTTGTCCCTATGGATTCTTGGTGTGTCTTCCACAAACCAATGTACTGTGAGACATGAGGTAGCTGACTGCAGCCATCTGAAGCTGACACACATCCCCGCCGACCTTCCTGCCAACATAACAGTGCTGAATCTTACCCACAACCAACTCAGAAGCTTACCACATACCAATCTTACAAGATACAGCCAACTTGCTATCTTGGATGCAGGATTTAACACCATCTCAAAACTGGAGCCTGAACTGTGCCAAACACTCCCTTTCTTGAAAGTCTTGAACCTCCAACACAATGAGCTGTCTCAGATTTCCGATAAAACTTTCATCTTCTGCAGGAACCTGACAGAACTCTACCTAATGTCTAACTCAATACACAAAATTAAAAGCAACCCTTTCAGAAACCAAAAGGTAAGAAGCATGCGTTTCTTTTGTTCTAAGAAATGCAAATATTATCTACAATTACATGAAGTTAAGTTTTTAAGTTACTGAATCATCAAAGTCTATATAGATATCAACGTAAGGGTACCAATGCTGATCAACCCTCTTCATGACTGCTGGGTTACACCTCTGCATGTGGGTATTGGGATATAAATCTGCTCAAAATTACAGTCTTAAGTCAATTTGAACATTAAGAGATATTCCTCTCTTGCATCGTCTCATTTGAAATAGGACACACAAGAAAGACATCATGACCAGAAATGCATCTGCCTATTCCATGGGGAACATAGAAAATAAACTCAGGAGCTTCTGAATTTAGAAGGTGAATAAGAAACACACTGAGTTCAAATTCTGACTTAAATACAAGTAACAAGTTGATACAATGGTGAAGCAGATTGTTGGGATAAATACTGCCTACTCTTTGGAACTTAAGAAATCTTGGAACATTGCCTTTTCAATGAGTTCTGCCTCTTCTTATAAATTCTTTGCTTAAATTTTAAATCAGTGACAAGGGTGTGTGTTATTGGCGGGTAACCTCAGCAACCCTTAAGTGCATTCTTTAAACCAAGCCATTTTGCAAATCGATTTATTGTCTTTAATATATATATTAATATATATGTAATCTTATTCCTTCTCAGATGCCAAGGACATAAGGTAGTAATTTAAGCATACTGACAAGCATAGATAAAGTGATATGTTTTCCAGCCTTTGAGCCTTCTTAAACCAGAGAAATTACTAGAGAAAGACATTTTTATCTTTTTAATGCATACATGGAAGTCTTATTTCTTTAATAGAAATTCTGTTCGATTTTCCCTAACAAACATCACTAGTTTTCCTGCTTTTTGCCTGAACTTGAAGCTTACAGGAAGATGTCTTGGTTCTCTGGCTTTTATAATCTTCTGGCTCCTTCTTCCAAGATGTTCCCTGAGCCTTAACTATAGGGATTGTGTTGTTTTCTTTCTTTCTTTCTTTCCTTCTTTCTTCCTTCCTTCCTTCCTTCCTTCCTTCCTTCCTTCCTTCCTTCCTTTCTTTCTTTCTTTCTTTCTTTCTTTTTCCTTATTTATTTATTTACTTATTTTAAAAAAGAAACAAACTATCCTTTTTTTCATTATAAATACCAATTCAAGTTCCTACTCTCATTCCCTGTACATACGACCCCTCCCACCCTCATCCAATCCTCAGAGAGGGTAAGGCACATTGTTTTGGGGAAGGTCCATGGCCCTCCCTACTATATCTAGGCTGATCAAGGTATCTCTCCAAAGAGAATGGGTTCTCAAAAAGCCAGTACATGCAGTAGTGATAAATCCTGGTGCCACTGCCAGTGGCTCCTTAGTCTGCCCCAGCAATGCAACTGTCAACCACATTCAGAGGGACTAGTTTACGCAGCCATGTATAGGACAGACTGCTTCACAGCAGGCTGGTACAAACATTGAGGAAAAACCGGTGAAAAGTTTGTAACAATGATGGTGTTTTTAATTGCAACAAAAGTTATCCAGTCCTTCAGCATAATAGAGAGAAAAGTCATTATTTTCCTTTGAGATACATCCAAGATTCATACAGTTGGAGACAGTCTCTAATATGCATGTATCTATTTTTCACTCTCAGAGTTTAATCATATTAGATCTGTCGCATAATGGCTTATCATCTACAAAGTTGGGGACTGAGGTCCAACTGGAAAACCTCCGGGAACTCCTCTTATCGAAAAATAAAATCCTTGCACTAAGAAGTGAAGAACTTGATTTTCTTGGCAATTCTTCTTTACAGAAGTTGGACTTATCATCCAATTCACTCAAAGAGGTAAGAAGTCAAGGACAAACTGCTTCCTAGTCTACCTTTAGGTGTGTGTGGTCTCTAACCATGTTGTACAGAAGGGAATTTAGGATTTCTACTGAAACGCAGTGATGAGCTCTGCCATGTCTTTAGTCTTTAAGACATCCTTCAACCTTTGTTAGGAGCCACTGTCACGGGCACCGAAGAAGAGTTGAAAAATTGCCCATTGATGGAGCCAACTCTAATTCCCCTGCCATTGCAGAGCTGGTCTTTGATTTCTGAAAAGACTCTGACTTTAGTTTCCTAATTATATCGTGAAAATCAAACTCCTCCTCCCGCCATCTCCATACAAATGAAAACACTCTGGTGGTTAAGAGCTCAGGCCTCCTACTTGACTTAGCCACCCCTACACCGGCTTTGTGTTTTGATAATTGGGTAATCAGGTACCTCATTCAGCCTTCCAATTCTGAGCTTTTAAAGCGCTACCTCACGGGACTACGAGGGGAAAGAATTTAGGATTGCATCTGTCCCGCAGCAGTTCTGAGTAGAAAACATTCCCTGTAATGAAATGTTTCTCAGCTATCTTGCTCCTCTTTGACCTGTGGTCTGCAGCTGAAGTATTTTCATACAAAGCTATGTATATATTACATGCATTTGATAGTCTTAAGTTCATTAAATATTGCTCGTATGTGTGTGTTTAGAACTGACCACGTGGTATTAGATAACCAATTAGGGGCACATCCCAGGGAAAGACTCCCGGCTCTCACCAGTCATTAATTGCCTGGAACCCTTCATCTGGGGCATTTACAAGCTGTGAGAGTATGGGAAATCCTTAACACATACGGTTTTACAAAGCTATTTTTCAGATATAAGACACTGTGCAAAAAAAAAATTATTCCAAAAGAATAATGAAATCATTTGTGTATGCTACTCACTTGATTTTTAAAATATTTTCTAATTGGAACATTTGTTGCCATAATCTTATAAAATACATAAACAAGGAGAGTTAATAAAAAAATCACTTAAAGTCTACCATCATTAAAAAAAACATTGCTAGTATTTGTGTATATCTGTTTACAATTCTTCTCTAAAGAAGTATAAGAAAACCAACAACAGCTTAATCTTAGAACACTTAACTCAGTACTAACACTGCGAGAATTATTTCTGTATATTTTGTATGATATACAGAATATATGGCATGGTCTTCTTAATCAACTGATTATTTTTGCACAAGAGTAAATTAAGACAAAAAAAGGGCAGGTGACAGGGTGGCATTTCTGGTATGTTACCCAAGACTATGTTTTTGTAAAAGGGCACCAGAGGGACCCTGGTGGGAGAGAGCCAGAGGCCTCACAGTGGACTGGAGACAAATAAGCCATGCGGGGAGTTTACTGAAAAAGGGGTAAAGGGGAGAGAGGAGGGAAAGAGTAATACAGAGGAAGAGGAAGAAGAGACAAGGACCAGCCTATCTCTTCAGAAGAGCAGCAGGGGAAAAAAGAGAGAGCAGAAATGGGCGGAGCTTGTCTCTTAACCCGGACCTTAGTAGCAGCACAGGGGCATACCTGCCTAGTGATGGAACAGCCATGGGACCCTGAGCTGGCCAGGGTACTGCCTAGGTTCATCCTGCTAGGTGACAGGGACCAGTATAAAGCCTGAATCCAACAATGCTCTCCACAGCTGTGCAATACTGACTCATGGGGGTAAAATTAATGTCGTATCCTTGAACATCTCTCACACAGTAATTAATAATAATAAAAAAACCACCTTAACTTTCAAGGCTGCAAACAATGTTCAGGCAAATGTACTATAATTTAATAATTGCCTGTTTTCATTTTAACCTCCTTTAAAAAAAAAGAAAAAGAAGAAAAAGAAAAGCACACCTCTTTTCTTATTCCTAGTTAATTTTTGCTCCATTAGCCCAAACTTGTTATAAGCTACATATAAGAAAGCTCTCAGGTAAGGGCTATGGCTGTCTGGAGTCCCTCTTTTTGTCCCAGGACAGCTGAGGCTTCTGATAATGGAAGGCAAGTCAGTGGAAGAAAGTTGAAAACTCTTTCATAAAATAAAGGAAGAAGAAAGCCCGGAAAGACAAAACTCTAGAAGAGAAAATACCATCATGGTCTATTTACTTGTGGCCCCTGAAAACAGTCACTCAGGGTCTGGCCCATGACTGTTTCCACACATAGTTTTTTAAATGCAACTGGATCTAGTGTGGTTTAGGTAAAATGCTGGGAAATGCAACGTTACCGGGAAGCCTGGGAAGACCCTGGGATGTGGGTGGTAGGGAGATCGGGAGTGGCTACTGGAACAGAGTGAAGAAGGAGCCATTCGCTAGAGGGATAGAGTGGGCTGACCTGCCCAAGTCACGTGCTGCAAGGGACAGGGGCGGGGAAACTGAGCAAAGATGCAGAGCCTGTTACATCTGGTTTTTTTTTTTTTGTTTGTTTGTTTTGAACCCTCAGTTTTCTCCAGGGTGTTTTCATGCAATTGGCAAGTTATCTGCTCTCCTTTTGAACAACGCTCAACTAGACCACCAGCTCACAGAGAAGCTTTGTTGGGAACTTTCAGGCACAAGCATCCAGAATCTCTCTCTGGCTAACAATCAGCTTCTTGCAACCAGAGACACCACGTTGTCTGGACTGAATCGGACAAAACTCACCTGGCTTGACCTTTCCTACAACAGCCTCCGCGATATCGGTAACGATTCCTTCTCTTGGCTCCCACACCTCAGGTACCTGTCTCTGGACTACAATAATATCCAGAGTTTGTCTTCTCGCTCTTTTTACGGACTTTCCAATCTGAGGTACCTGAATTTGAAGCGAGCGTTTACTAAACAAAGTATTTCCCTTGCTTCACACCCCAAGATCGAGGATTTTTCCTTTCAGTGGCTAAAATGTTTGGAATATCTCAACATGGATGATAATAATATTCCTAGTACAAAAAGCAATACGTTCACGGGCTTGGTGAGTCTGAAGTACCTAAGTCTTTCCAAAACTTTCATAAGTTTGCAAACTTTAACCAATGAAACATTCGTGTCCCTTGCTCATTCTCCTTTGTCCACCCTCAATTTAACGAAAAACCACATCTCAAAAATAGCGAGCGGTGCTTTCTCTTGGTTGGGCCAACTCAGGATTCTTGATCTTGGCCTTAATGAAATTGAGCAAGAACTCACAGGCCAGGAGTGGAAAGGTCTGAGAAATATATTTGAGATCTACCTGTCCTATAACAAAAATCTCCAACTGACTAGCAATTCCTTTGCTTTGGTTCCCAGTCTTCAACGGCTGATGCTCAGGAGGACAGCACTTAAAAATCTGGAGCTGTCCCCTTCGCCTTTCCGCCCGCTTGGTAACTTGACCATTCTCGACTTAAGCAACAACAACATAGCCAACATAAACGAGGACTTGTTGGAGGGTCTTGAGAATCTCGAAATTCTGGATATTCAGCACAACAACTTAGCAAGGCTCTGGAAGCATGCAAACCCTGGTGGTCCTGTCAATTTCCTGAAGGGCCTATCTCACCTCCATATCCTGAATCTAGAATCTAACGGCTTTGATGAAATCCCAGTCGCGGTGTTCAAGCACTTATTTGAGCTGAAGAGCATCAATCTAGGGCTGAATAATTTGAACGTACTTCTACCGTCTACTTTTGATGACCAGACGTCTCTAAGGGCATTGAATCTTCAGAAGAACCTCATCACGTCAGTTGAGAAAGATGTTTTTGGGCCAGCTTTCCAGAACCTGAATAGTTTAGATATGAGCTTTAATCCATTCGATTGTACGTGTGAAAGTATTGCCTGGTTTGTGAACTGGATTAACCAGACCCACACTAACATCGCTGAGCTACGCACTCATTACCTCTGCAATACTCCACCTCAGTACCATGGCTTCCCAGTGATGCTTTTTGATACATCATCCTGTAAAGACAGCGCCCCGTTCGAACTCCTTTTCATGATTAGTACCACTGGACTCATGGTTTTTATACTTTCGGCGTTGCTCGTTCACTTTGAGGGCTGGAGGATATCTTTTTACTGGAATGTCGTAGTACACCGGGTTCTCGGTTTCAAGGAAATCGAAGCACAGCCTGAACAGTTTGAATACACAGCATACATCATCCATGCCTATAAAGACAGAGACTGGGTTTGGGAACACTTCTCCCCAATGGAAGAACAAGACCAAACTCTTAAATTTTGTCTAGAAGAAAGGGACTTTGAAGCAGGTGTCCTGGGACTTGAAGCCATCGTCAATAGCATCAAAAGAAGCAGAAAAGTCATTTTCGTTATAACAAATCATCTATTAAATGACCCTCTGTGCAGAAGGTAGGGAAATTTGTGAATGTCTTATGTCTGCACTCGTTTTACAACTGACCTTGCAAAATCGCTATATTCACAATTCATAAAATTCGTAACAACAAAATTGATGGGGGGATTCTAATTTTTAGTGAAAGTGCAAATAAATTCCAGAAATAATTTTAGATTGTTAAGCTTTTAACTTTTAACAACTATGTTAGTTACCTAACTATTCATTCTCACATTTTGTTTAGATTCAAGGTCCATCATGCAGTTCAGCAAGCCATTGAGCAAAATCTGGATTCAATTATATTGATTTTTCTTCAGAATATTCCAGATTATAAACTAAACCACGCACTCTGCTTGCGAAGAGGAATGTTTAAGTCTCGCTGCATCTTGAACTGGCCAGTTCAAAAAGAACGGATAAGTGCCTTTCATCATAAACTGCAAGTAGTACTTGGGTCACGGAATTCAGTGCATTAAATTGTTTGTGTAGATTAAGTTGATAAGGGGATAGATCCAATTTATAAAGGGCCATCAAAAATCCGAGTTTTACTTGAAAGTTTTGTATGTTTATTTATATGCATAGATGGCGATGTTGTATCATAATCAAATCTCGTTTTTTGAAATGTTTTTTTTATTTCTGGTCACTTGTCAAAAACTGGTTTATTTATCCATCCACTCCAAATAAATACCTGGGGATCTAAGAGCATCCTCTATTAATATGAATTCACAGTTGATTTCTGAAGTGTATCATGCCTTCTAGGGGGTTCTAAAATTGTCTTTATATGAGTAAAACTGAGAGTTTTATAGGTGTGTGTGTGTATGCGTGTGTGCGTGTATTTTTTAAATATGAAGTTTTACCATGTAACTCTGGCAACCTGGAAATTACTATGCCAGAGTCTGGCCTTGAACTCATGAAATCATAAAGATCTGCCTGCCTCTATCTTGATGCTTTTTTCTTTTCTTCTTCTTCTTCTTCTTCTTCTTCTTCTTCTTCTTCTTCTTCTTCTTCTTCTTCTTCTTCTTCTTCTTCTTCTTCTTCTTCTTCTTCTTTTTCTGATACAAGACTTCTTTCTCTGTTTAACAGCCCTAGCTGTGTTGAAACTAGCTCTTGAAGACCAGGTTGGCCTCAAACTCACAGAGATCCGCCTACCTCTGCGCAAGTGCTGGGATTAAAGGTGTGCGCCACCACTGCCCTGCTTGAGTGATGTTTTTAAAGGCATGCAACACCAAATTCAGTAAATGAGATTTTATAATACTCACATTTTGAGATATTTATAGAATGCAAGATAATTGCTTTTATGGTACAAGGCTACTTCAATGCTAAGAAGAGTAAAAATATTTAGAAACAGTTGGTTTTTTTTCAGTTGAAAAGCTTTGTATTTTATTTGATGTTTATTTTGATAGATGTTAGGTAGCTTTTAAATCTGCATGCCCAATAGCAGAATATTTTCATAATCTTCATGGTGTAACAGGCACTCAGATGTTAACATGACTGTCTCCATAATGGAAGTACCATTTAGGCCATAAAATTCAGCATGAGGACAGCACCATCAGCCAAGATGAAAACAAAGACCTAATTCATCACAGTTCTGGGAAATTCTCTAAATGCAGTAACCTTGCTTTTTTGGCTTCTGTAGTTCTGCTTCTGGCTAACTACTCCTAACTGAAGTATGTCAACACAGAATATGTTCTTTATGCTTAAAAGCTCACTCTGAGAATGGCTTGAAGCTATCCACACTGGTATCCCAAACACTGAGCGTGGTCACTGGTTTGCTAATAAAGACTTTCTATTGGCTTAAACCCATGTCTAGAAAATCTTTTCTGGTGGATACCCCACAACAGGTGACTGTTATTACTTGATAAAATAGATGCTAGAACAAATACTTCTATTTTCCTAATATTTCTGTGTCTTTTGCAAGAGAATTTAAATACTTTTATTAACTATATTATAGAAAGGCTTGTTCTTGAACACTGGTCAATAGATTGCTTTTATGGAAAACAGCATTTCCCTCCCTGGGTCACAGACGCTTGAGGTGACTTTGATCGAATCAGTTGGTCTCAGTGGGGTTTTTGAACTCTTCACCTACAAAAATGTGATATATAAAACCTCAAATAATTAGAGATGATGATTTTGATATAATATATTGGAATATATAATATATATGGAATATTCCATATGGATATGTTATTCCATGAGATGATACACAATAGATAACTTAGTCCCTAAGAAAAGACCATTAGATTATGTTTTATTTTTAATAAAAATAGAGCCTTTACTGTAGCATGAATTCTAATTGGTCTTAATAAAAACACAGAGTCAGATGTTAAGGGATGAAAGTTGAAAGATCAAAGAAGCACTAGGTTTTACCTCTACAAAATTCTCATACCAAATGAGGTATACTTCTATACAAGTCCTTAGACTGATTGCTAAGAGCTCTTGTCTCCTCCTGCCTTGTATTTCCCTCTATGCCCAGCCATATTCCTTCCTGGCTCCATCTCCCTAGTGCTGGGATTAAAGGCGTGTGACTCCTAAATACTGGCATTGTGAGCTACCATTGTCTGGCTCTGTTTCTCTTTTAATTCAATCTTGTGTAGCTCTGGATGGCCTTGAACTCACAGAGATCTGTCTGCCTCTGACTTCAGAGTTCTGGGATTAAAGGTGTGTACCACCACTGCCTGGCCTCTATAGCTAACTAGTGGCTAGCTCTGCACTCTGATCTTCAGGCAACCTTGCTATATCACAAACAAAATATCACCATACTTTAGTTTCTTTTTTATGATAAAAATAATAAACATCTTGGAAATTTACATTAAATGCTTTTTAAAATATCTCTTGCTCTGGTACCAAAGCATAAGACAGGGTGTAAATTAAAGTGTTAACAAATATTTTGCTGACAGCATTAGCCATCTTTCTTTATTGTTAGGCTCCTCTTTTCTCATATCATACCCTTTAGGATGAACTGACTTTGGAAATCCCACATGACATTTAGGTGATGTGGGATTCGCTCTGTATGCTGTGAATACCATTGGTTAATAAAAAAGCTGTTTGGGGCCTGTGATAGGGTAGAACAGAGCTTGGTGGGGAAAACTGAACTGAATGCTGGGAGAAAGAAGGCAGAGTCAGTGAGAGCCCCACCAAAGACAGACACCAAAACTTTACCCAGTAAGCCACAGTGATACACAGATTAATGGAGATGGGTTAATTTAAGATGAGTTAGCCAGAAATATGCTTAAACAATTGGCCAAACAGTATTGCAAATAATACGATTTCTGTGTGGTTATTTTGGGGCTAAGCAGCCGGGAACAAACAAGCAGTTCTCCTACTACATTTAGAGAGAGAACAGTCAATGGTGATCAGGAGGGAGGTTAATAGGTGGTAGAAGACTATAAAGAAGTGGCATTTGCTTTGTGCTGTGAGTAGGGGGAGCCTTCCAGAGGCCGACAAGACAAAGAATTGGTAACTATGCTCCTCAGGGCTGAGCACCTACAAAAGTCACTTGTAATTCTTCCTCATGGCAACTTTGCTCCATTTGTCTCACTTGTTCACTTTTTAAAGTCAGTATGGACTGAATGTAAACTTGTGTTTTGTGTTAAAGAACTATTAGATTATTGTTTTCTCAAATTATTCAGCACTGGATTTGGGGAGCCCTTCTAGCAGTCGTTTGTACATTACCCACCTTGGTGTGTGTGTATGTGTGTGTGTGTGTGTGTGTGTTTGTGTGTGCATGTGTGTGTGTATGTGTGTGTGTGTGTATGTTAAATCTTACTTTTTGGAATTGCATTTTGCTTCAAGGTGTTCTTGGATGTCACCTTGCTCCCTGCTTAAGCAATCTACAAGGAGTCTTGGATCCTTTCAATCGAGAAGAGTATTATTACACCTTGATGTGCTTGTTAGTAAGTGGATGCCTTCTGTGCTTCCAAAGCAAGCAATATGAGTGAGAATCAACTCATAGATATGTACATATCTATAAATATTTCCATATCTATACATGTCTAATATGTATATTAAATTAACTAATGAGAATGTTAAAATAAACAGTTGTATATTTTGGTGTCTACAACTCTAATTCATTATCACACTGATCATCTTAATCTTTGCCATGCTTTTCTGTGGCTGTCCACTCCAATACAAATCACTGTCTCTGTCCTTAATCATTCAGTTCTATATATACAGTATCAGAATTGCTAAGCAATGTGCTGTGGAAAGTAACTTTTATAGCTACAGTAAATGTTGATATGCAATACATTTTGTATTAGTTTTACATTCTGTTTTCCAAAGTTGCTTCAGGTAGAACCCCCTCGCCCCCCCCCACTCCCTTCAATGAGGTCAATAAGTTTTTTGTAATATAGTTAGATTCTATTCTTACAGTCTGCAATCTACCCTGCAATTTCTGGATCTCTGGAATTGTTTTGGTTTTGTTTGCTTACACAAAAGTTTATTCTTTGTGTGATGAGGTATTATGGCCTTTGACAAATGCATGAATTGTTAAACTATCAGTTTGCAATCTTACGGGATAGTTCTCTTTACCCTAAAACATGGCCTATAAATTATCATTACAAGAGGCTGAATGTAATGAGTAAGGGTGCTTGCTGCTCTTGCAGAGGACCTGAATCTGGTTCTCAGCACATATGTCAGATGGCTTACAACCATCTGTAACTTCATCTGCAAGATAGCTGATGCCTTCCTCTGCTCTCTGAGGACATCCACATGCAAATGTGCATACCATATACAGACGCAGACATATAAATAAAAATAAGATAAAACTTTTAAAATTATTTATTCAAATGTGGCTTCTCTTGGAACTCTTATTAACTATAGCCTATTAACTAATTTTGTAGGTTGATGTTTTATATAATGTCATATGAATAAAGTCATAGTATGTAGCTAAAAACTGCCGAGTTTTTAAAAATTGACTTATCTGGAACATTGTCATTTGCTGAATTTAAGGAACAACTTGCTGACACGTGTAGGTACTTGGATGTAAATACTTCAGCACTCTCAGGATGAACAGCATCAAGGCAGACTACATGGCAGACAGAAAACAGCTACTGCATGGCAACCACAGGCTGATGCAATAGATTGATTGGTTCACAGCAGAATGCCACACGGCCACTGGAAACCACAGAGAGTAACATGGCCAGTGGAGATGACTGCTAACTGTCCTTTGCTTCTTTAAAATCTGGTCTCCAGTCGTCAGCCAGTCCTGCAAAATTGTCTGTTCTCATCGTTCACTGGGTGCCATGACTCATCTGAAAATCCCACTTGAAGACAGAAAAAGGGGATAAATCCTATCCCAGGAATTCCTGTCTTCCGTCCACTTTAGTTCATGAGTAATCTCCTCTTTTATCTTGACCATATGATGCACTGTCTACACACCCAGCAGACGTGTGCACTCTGAGAATGCACTTGTGCCTTAAGCACGCACTTCTGTTCTATGATAAGGCTCCCAACCCATTCTTTTGTGTCTCTATAGTCTTTCCCAGTCTGTTTGAGAGCCAGGGAACACTGGGTAGGAGTCTACCTCTCACCCATCTCTCTCTCTCTCTCTCTCTCTCTCTCTCTCTCTCTCTCTCTCTCTCTCTCTCTTTCTCTGAGGAAACCTCAACTCTTAGTTCTGAAGGAGTCTACACAGTCTGAGCCTACAGACATTCATAGCATGATTCTATGGAGAAAGATTTTAATTTTCACAATATCCTCCACCATTACTTTTTAATACTTATTTCTTCAGCATTTTAGGTGAGATTTGTTTTTTTAGTGCAACAGCCTCCTCTATTTGGGCATCATAAAGCAAACATAATACTTCTTAAACACAATAAATACAACTACCTCTCATCTTGATAATATTGTATGTGCTGTTTATCAGAAAGTTTTACTCCTCACTTACATATTTTCAAATAGTTTTTATAAATTATCATTGATTTATAGGAGGCAGAAAACATTTTTGCTTTTATTTTTCCTGTCTGCTTTAAGATGGCTGATGAAATGGCCAAATTTAAACTGAATTCAAATATAATTTTTTTACTATTGCATAATATTTAATAGATTAAGACATAGAGAGCAACTTGTTTAAACAAATACAAATAAAACTTAAAATAGGTGTGGAAATTCTGACTTGCATTTGACCTGCACAGGAAGCAACATCCTAAATGTCTGTGTGCTATCCTTTATAATTGTCCTCAGGAGGAGTCTTCATCCCTTGGGTTTAAGACAAAGGGATTGAAGAAACGGATGTTTGTCTGACCTCTTATTCAGTTTCCATAGAAGACTTGTCTTGTTTAATTCTCTCAGGTTCCCACCATGCAATCCTTACTCTAGCTTCTTGTTTGCAAAACAAAACTCACCTGGATCTATGTGGAGTTTAAATTAATTCCAAGTATTTAGGTTTTGCATAAAAATTATATCCTTTTGAATTGAGCTAAATAAAATAGGATAAATTTGTGAGTGAAGATGAGACCATTTAAATGCCGTTTATTTAACAATGTCTCATCATTTAAGCAAATACCTCAGGTTTTGCTTACGTAATATAAATAATGCTGACCATTAGAAGATATAAATAAAAGTGTCCTACAATCTCTGGAAATGGGAAGCAGATAAGTAATTGTCTGGTCTAGGGCCTAGGACCAGGAATCGACTTCAAACCTCTCTTTCTTTGTTTCTTTCTCTTTGTCTCTCTTTCTCTGTCTCTGTCTCTCCAATTGTCTTCTTCAGAGATTCTGGGAAACAAATGACTTCATCACTGAAACAGTTTTTAGAACAAGAATATTTTGTCCGTGTTAAGTTACTCTAATCATAGATACTG